AAGTAGTGAGCCCTTTGAAGAGGGACAGCTACTATTCTTAAATTGTTTTATATCCTCGCTTGGTAGATCAAATTTTACCGAACGTCATGGCCACAAATTTAGCTGTCGAGTTGCCCCAACAATTCGCTCCATTACAAACTCTTACTTACGCTCACGCACATTCTTACTACACTTGCACCACTGCAAACCCCTCATCACATGAATAAATAAAACTAACAGTCACGCTTTATGCGAAAGTGCATCGTCCATCAAGTGCAAGCGTTGACGCAACGCTCTGTCAAAAAAAACTCGTCTTTTTTCCCGCAAAAATTAGAAAACGGGGGAGTTGGCTATTGACTGTGAACTTTGCTATCCATAGCACACATCAACAATCCATGTGTAAAGTACTTCAAATAAATAGTCCTTCCATGAAGGCTGAGCACGAGTGGCTATTCCGAGAACTCGCCTATACGGTCCAGAGAGTTAAAATTAATATATACGCCTATCAGACAGTTTAAAGAGTTAAAATTGATATATACAACTCTTGGCAAACGCAAGAATTTATCCAAAGCAAATTAGCCAGATGTTCTGTTCGGCCAAATCGATACCCCAAAAAAGTAACTGAGAGGAAACAATGTAGCACCCATTCTATGGAAATGCAGCTATTTCAGTTGCAGTGTCGGGTGTACAGTGGCTCCTGTCCAGCGCCGCTGTCTCGCTTGAGCTTGCAACGAGTTCGCGGACGTGATCCCTAATCGTTCTCCCACGCCTAAAAGATTAAAACGCGATTCTGTGTCTTCCTTTTAGTCATGGGGAAATGACCAGAAGACGAGCTTGCGAACGCCGCGCAGGCTCTAGGCGAGGCTGCCGCGCAACACCCAAACTGCCTTGCACCCGACACTGCAAATAAGATAGCCTGTATTCATGTGGTGAGAGACAAAATCATAGACTTCGCGCTAGGACTGTGCAATCGCACATATGACTTAGAGGTCTTTTTATAAATGCTCATTAAGGTTGCACCTGCCGAGCTGGAAGATCTGCTTTTGGCACATCCTTTAATTCGTGATGCTGCAGTTATCGGAATACCTGATAAACGTTCTGGTGAATTACCGCGTGCATTCGTCGTTCGAGCATCAGATAGCTTGACTGAAGAAGATGTAAAAGCCTGGATCAAAGGTATATATTCTAGTTTAGAAGATTTCACCGAAAAATTATGTTCTTTTCAGACAAAGTGTCTTCGCATAAACAACTTGCTGGAGGAGTAGAATTCTTGCGAGAGATTCCGAAATCACCTGCTGGAAAAATTTTGCGAAGAGTGTTACGCGATCGTGTTCCGTCAAAACTTTAAATAATGCTAGCGAAAACATGCTAACAATCAGAATACAGAGTATTCTCCGCTAGAGTAGTTTTAAGCGAAATTCTAACTATAACAGCTCTTTATTTGTATCATATCAGATAAAAGCAGAACTCATCATTTGTTGCTTACCTTATCATACATTCCTTGTCAAGTTTCTTTTCATTTTTCGAAAACATGTTGACCTGCCTTTCTGCTATATCGTGTTACTGTGAATTATTCGATACGCACTCTTTGTGACTCGAATCTGAAATGATTCTAATGCGAATAAATATTTATATGCTATGTTATTTACGGCCGTAGATCCAAGTAACACGTTTTCAAATCATTGCTTCATAGCCGCATGGACTGTATCATCTGTCATTCGGCAAAAGTCGGTATACTAACAAAAAATTTTTAGAGCTTGAACTAAATCACAATAACTAAATAAAAGTAAGACTCTTTGATGCTTCCACTTTGAGGCGTCTAGTTTCTATCAGGGAAAGATTTTTCAAGGTCAAATTTCCACGAAAACCCGCCACAATTCCAAAATTCTATTTTTTTTTCATTCTTTATACTACACGTCATAGAAAAACATAATTTCGATTGGAAGAAGGGATAAAACACGGAAATGAGCAAGTCCTGACACTCCACTTCGAGCGCTACTTTTGCGGAGAAGTTTCAAGTTAGTGCTCCACCCTAAAAGTGAAGGCGATCGGATTTTATATGTTTCACTTTATTAATATTAGGTCGGTCAAAAGTTCTTTCCGTTTTTCAACCTGTCATAAAAACACGCGGAATTACAGGCAAATGCTTCAGAGATTATTAGATGCAGTTTTTCTTCCTCTTTCCAACAGACAATTTTCTAGACCATTTACATCAGTGGTTTCTGAGATAATTGCCGAACTTTCAAACTCATCGGTTTTACCATGCCCGTTTGGCAATTTTTCAAAATCTTCATTGTGAACATTTGGAAAAGCTTTGATAGCTGTTAGGTAACGTAAACAAAGTGCAATTCAATGCAATTTTCTCGCATCTTTAATCAGCTTCTTATTGTTAGTATTTTTTTAGGATAACTTTCCCAAAAGTCTTCAAATTTACGAAGTCGCGAAATATACAAAGGCTCTAAATACTAACAAATTGTCGGAATTGATACTTACAAAGTTCGATTATGGTTATACACTAACTTTACAAAACAATAGAGCGTTTGCGCTTCGAAATATCAAAATTGACATTTTGCGGATACAGTCTAGGGCGGGTTCCAAAACAGAATTACGATAATTTTATCGGCGAAGATTCCACGAACTAAAAAGAGAAAAGCTCTCAAGAAAGAGAAAAAGCTACCTTGAATGGCACATTAGTTGTGCGCCGTTTGATGTTCTGTAAGCGTTGGGATGACCAAAAGTGGAATTTGATAGTATCAGAAAAATAACTTTGAAAAATTTTAAAAGCCAGGTGCAGCTGCCAAAAAGTTTTTATAACAGGTTGAAAAACGGAAAGAACTTTTGAACCGACCCAGTATTTCCAAACTGAGAGCTAGAAAATCGTGGTGAACGGGAGTAAATAAGACAAAAACAGCCTAGACCAAGAATAAAAGGTGGTGCGAGCTTGACTTTGTTTTGTGGAGATCAACTCTTCCTTTCGAATAAGATGTCGAAACCTTACCAGCACAATCAAAATCAGCTTCAAACGCAAGAAAGATACAGCTTCTGAAACAAGGAGTTTCTTACTTACTTAATTACTTTGTAGCGCATCAGCTGGGACTGCTGATGCGGAGGGCGTCTGGCGTGTAGCAGAAAAATGTAGGAAAAAACACTTTATCCGGACAAGGGCGGAACAGAATGATAATTAAAGAACAAAAACAACTAGCCGGCGGCCTTTTATAGCCGCGCGGGTACAAAGTACAAACATAATCTACAATAAAACAGTAATCGCAACGACACAAACCTACTCAATGCTAACAAATATCTTTTATTTCTCATAACTATCCTATATTTCCTTCACATGCCTCCCCGACGAGTAGAGTTGTCCCGACGATGCCCATGCGTGTGATGCGAGTGCGCGGAAGAATGTCGGCTGGGTGATCTATGGTGGCGGCTAGGAGAGTTCGACCTTTGGTTCGGGGCTTGGGATGGATCTTGAAACGTGATCAGTGCTCGATGACGCCTTCTCTGCGGATCGGCAATCACCCAAAAATTGGGCATATACTCTTCATTGCGGCGCCGCGCCTTCAGTATCTTCTCTCGCCTTCGTTGCTCGCGTAGCTCTGGTGTTGCGGGCTCGAATTTTGGCAGCCTAATGAGGTCATTCACGGTAATCCTGACTTTCTCGAGGAAACGTCAATATTTGGGGTCCAATGAAGGGCGCACCACTGCGTCTCGGGGTTGACTCCTAGGCAACAGGCTGGATGTGTATACGGCGCATGATCCAGTAAGCCAGAGTAATGATCGCGAGTCACAGCCAAGAAGTTGCGGGATGGACCCGTTAAGAATCGTACAAACTCGCGGCACACTTCGCCCACCCTTCTCCATTCTTCGGCATTCCGATCCTCATAGGGGCTTGGGAAAAACGCAAGTGTTCCTCCGTCTTGGAGGTGTCTCTCGATGCTGATTAACAGCTGCCTCATCTGCCTGCATTCAGGTGAGTTGTCCGGCCATACGATGACTACTGCTTTCATAATCTCGCGGGTGGTCAACAGCTTGTTGGCAAGAGTTCCGAAGTCTCGATAAACATATAAGATAACGTTATCCTCGTAGCCATTTCAGAATCCAATCTTACGAACGAAGGTGGGAGTGCAATGAACGTATGGTGATCCATGTGATGGTTCAACAGCGGCATCTCGATCTGACCCAACATCATGATGGCTCCCGCTAGGATGTCCCCTATGGGATATTCGCATGGCCATGGGTAGATTGTGGGGTGGTCGTACTTCATTCCCCTTGCCTCCTCTCTTTTGGCATACAAAGGACATCGACGTCGATGAGCGTCCATCGCTACAGCGAGTCCATATGGCGAAAGGTACTGCGAGTGTTCCGTCTAAGTTCTCGCTCTTTCCTTTCGTCCGACCAACATTCCTGCTCGGAGATGCTCGCGATATTAGCCAGTTCAAATATGTCGTTCACTGTCTTGGCCCTTGCAAGCGGATGAAACCAGGTATCGCTATATGCGCCATTTGACCGAATAGACCGCAACTGCAGCGAAATCTCAGATTCAGGCGGTCGTTGGAGGCCAGCAGAGTCCTGAAAAGAGAGATTTTGTTGCATTGAACTTCTTGCGTCTTGTTTTTCTTAGGACGCCCTCTTTTACCCCTGCTTTTTCTTGTTAGCAATGGCTCGTCGGAGATACCCCGGGGTAGTTTCCTAAGCAAGTCAAATGGTACCCTCACTGGTCCTTTATTCTGGCCGATCATCGTAATTAGGGCGCTACTTTCACTGGCCTCTATAACTCGGTAGGGTCCTTCCCAGGGATTCGCTAATTTGGGATGGCTTGAAGACTGTTACTTGCTGGGGATTCGCATGTAGACGCGGTCGCCTATCTTGGGGGTGCAGGACAACTCTCCACTCCCTTCTCACGGTTGCTTTCATACGCTCTCTCATCTTATCGTTTACCCTGCGAGCGTATCCACGCGCAATTTGCGTCCTTACAGCGATCTCTTGGGCATAGCTATCTATGTCCACTGCGTATCTGCGGGCTTCAGGTTCCAAATCCCACGGGACATGCGCGTCGAAACCGTGTAAAAGGAAAAATGGGGACTCTCCAGTGGACTCATGCACTGTGGTATTGTACGCAAACACACAGGCGGGTAAGATTTTATCCCATTCCACTGCGATGGAGACCTTTTTCCTCAACATCGAGATGATAGTCTGATTAAACCTTTCAGTAAGGCCATTTTCGCAAGGGTTGTACCCTTTTGTGAAACTTTGTTCAAATCCCATCAACTTCTGTAGCTCTTCCATTAGCTTGTTTTCGAACTCCCCTCCCTGATCTGAGAGGAGACACTTGGGCTGGCGTCCACCTTCTACCACCCATCGTTCAAAAAACACTCAAGCTATCACTGGTGCAGCTTTGGATGGTACAGCATAGGCACCAGCGAACTTTGAGAAATGTCGACTACGGTCAGAATGTAGCGGTTCCCTTCTGTGGTGATACCCATTTCCAAAATGTCTATACTCACTACCTCAAATGGCCTGGTGGTCACAATTGGACGTAGTGGTGGGACCGTTGCTTGCTGGGGGTTGTGACACAGGCATTCTCGACATTCCTCTGCCCAGCGCCAGATGTCCCTTCTCATAGATTCCCAGAAGGATCTCTTGGATAGCTCACGCCACATCTTCTTGGCTCCGAAATGTCCCGCTAACACTCCGTAATGGGCCTCTTCAAAGAGTTTCTTTCTCTGGGAGGGTGGTACCACCTTCCGCAAGCGGTCTTTATCCACCAGCATAAGGTGACCTCCGCTCGTGATGAAGTCAGCCACCTTGTACCTCAGCGATGATCCTGGAAATTCCACTTTTCCATCCACTTCGTCCTTTTCCAATCCTTCTAGGATTTTCTGCTAGACTGGTTCTTCACGAAGCTCTTTTGTCCATGCCGCTTCTTCCATTGCAGATGCGACGATCTGCTCCCCTGGCATTGTATCGTCAACCTCCGTACAGCATTCCATCTCACGTGTCGCACCACGGCTCAAGGCATACGCTACTCGATTTGCCGCTCCTTTCAGGTAGACAATCTTCAGATCGTACTTCTGAAGCTCAAGTGCCCACCGCAGGACTCGATCAGAAACATTGGTGCGCTTGAAAATTGATGTAAGTGGTGATCCGTACATACCTCTACCGGAAGCCCGTAGACAAACATGTGGAATTTACGCAAAGCGAATACCTCTCTAAAACCTCGAAGTCCGTCACGTGGTACCTCTTTTCGCAGCTGGATAGTCCCCTTGTGGCAACTCGGTGGGCTCTTGCACCTAGATGTAACCCGAGGCCTGACGCTCGCCCGATACTAAGCGACGTACCTAGCCT